GCAAAGGAAAGGTGCGACGTCGCACGTTCGCGTCGCCGCACTTCGTTGCAACTGTTAATCGATTTGGTCTCATATCTCCTAAACAAATATCGGCGGCACAACTCTACAGAGTCATTTGAAAGGTAGGAGGTTAGACCTTTAACTTAATAACTTTAGACTATAAGGAAACCCCCTGCAAACGCCAGAAAGATCCCTCAAAGCAGCGTGCTGCACCATATGTAGTGCCGGTCCGAAACGTGTTAAACCAGCCATTCCAAATATTCTGTACCAGTGCGTCACCTCTGCTTCGCAGAGGCTCGCTCGCACTGGCCCTACTTTCTGTATGCCTCTCATTCCCGCATAATAATGACACTGAAACTCACCGAGCCATGCAGGTTATCACGAATGATTTGTAAACAACTACTCATTCCTAGAGTTTTTTTGTGTGAGATCGTATTTTCGTGTGGATGAAACTTTTCCGAGAAGAATTAATGCGAATTTGAATCGGTTTTCAAACTTTTTATGACCTGATAGTCGCCATAACGACAATAATCACCGTGGGCTACATCCATGTGCAAAAATTTTCTCAAACGATCAGGTAAAATCTTGGAAAATTTAACATTTATGCAACTTATTCTTTTTGACGCCGTTTTCGTGACTAATCAACTTTAGTTCAATTGTTTGAATTAATGTTTATGGGTTGCACATTAGCGTGTCAAACATATCCATGACTTCGCAAAAAGTGTTGGTACCGGCGCAATTTTGCTGGTCATAGGCCAAGTGATTATACTTGGGTCCGAATCGAATAGAAATTCGATCATTCGAATAAAACATTCGAATATATTCGTATTCGAAATTCGATATTCGGAGTTCTTCCATTTTCGAATAATATTCGAAACTCGAATAATTAAAAAACAGGGTTTCGAATAAAATTCGAAAACTCGAATATTCAAAAAACGAGGTTTCGAATATTATTCGAAAACTCGAATAATCAAAAAACGAGGTTTCGAATATTATTCGAAAAGTCGAATAATCAAAAAACGGGGTTTCGAATAGATTTTATTCGAATGTTTATTCGAATTCGTATTCGAATGACTCCGTATGCAGATTATTCGACTTTGTTGCAGAGCCAACTGCTGAGTATCAAGCTCACTTCGTCCGCGTTTTATTTCGCAGAACTCGGTAATGCATCTTTTGCAACCGTTATACCTTTGAACTGTATGGAGAGTCGTAAAAAAATCACATTTGGATTTTAATTGATGTAGAAAGTAGAGCAAGCCCTTTGCTTTTACATTGTTGATGCTGATAAGAAATAAAGTTAATTCTAATGTACAGTCTCTTTCAGACCATCTGTAGAAGAATCTTTTGGGCACTATAAAAATTTATATCGACTGCTTTTTAGATCATACATAAGGGGTAAAATATGAATTTTGCTGATGTACAGACTAGATGCCGACCGACTGACTTTATCGATTTTTGGGGAAGTTTGAGCTGCGGGGCTGAGAGTTGGTACAAGGGGGTTAGTGAGGGTGCTGATTACGGATAAAAATTTACTGTATAAGTTTTAACGATTTTTGGAAAATCTCGAGCTACGAGCTTGGGACTTGGTACAGGGGGTAAATGAGGATGCTGATTAAAACCGAAATCCATTTTATCGATTTCAGCAATTTTTGAAAGATTTTGAGCTAGGAGTTGGTATTGGGGATGCTAGGGGGCTGATTATGATTGGATCGCCTCCAGCCAGATATGTCGGCAAGTTTGAGATGTGATTGCTTTAGTTATTCGATAAATCATTCGAATATTTATTCGAAATTCGACTTCCAATGTTCGAATATATTCGATATTCATTCATTCGAAATTTTTGATTTTCCGAATTCGAAATTCGTTCATTTGATATTTTTGATTTTCCGAATTTATTCGAAATTCATTCATTCGATATTTTTGATTTTTCGGATTTATTCGAAATTCATTCATTCGAAATTTTTCCTTTTCGAATTTATTCGATATTCATTCATTCGATGAAAAATTCTCGAATTACCCAAGTATACAAGTGATCCGTTTGACGCGCAATTTTCAACGTATCCACTCAACAGATCCGCTCATGCTTTTGCATGGTGGGCTTTCATGCGGGTGGCGTGCGCTATGCAGAATTTTGGCTCAGGACGTTGGCGGAACACGCTCTAGAATTTCGTAACGGACAGACACACACACAGGCACAAAAACACGTAAACAACCCTTAGCCCGTTATTATAAGTCATGATACCAGTGCGTCACCTCCGCTGCGGAAGCTCGCACTGGCTCTGCAATCCGTATGCCTTTCTCGTGCTCGCATGATGATGACTTTGAGACTCACCGCGCGATGCTGAACATGACAAATGAATTGTAAACAACCGTTCATTTTTGACGGATCTCCATGTATTATCGGTAATTTTGAGAAATAAGGCTTTTTGCAAAGGAACAAATGCGAATTCGAACGGATTACTGAATTTATTTTAGTTTAATAATCGTCATAGGGATAATAGTCACTCTGGGCTACATTTACTGCAAAAATCTTTTCAGTTTTTGACTATCTACGCGACCACCACTTTTTGGCGGTGTTTTCGCAGAAAAGCAAACTTTTTGAGCATTTTTTTGGCTAGAATTTATGGGGCGCAGATATACTTGTCAGGCAAATCATGACTTTGCAAAAAGTCGAATTAGCGCCCAGCTTTGCGTGCCAAAAGCCGCGTGGACACGTTTAACGCCCAAATTTTGAAAAACTCGCTTATCAAACCGGCTCGCCCTTGTGCGTGGTGGACCTACATGCTGGTACGATATGTTATGCAAAATCGGTGAAGAATATTTAATCGGTTGAGAATTTTCGTTTTCAAGACATTGAGTCATTCGAAAATTCTTCACTTTGCAAATAACCAATGTTCTTTTAGTACTTTCCCGTTATCCGGACCAATTTTTCAAAGAAGTGTATTGCTTCTTTCCTCGTACCATATCTGGTCCCCACTTCACAGAAAGAAGTGTCTATCTTCCTGTCACGTGCAAAAAATATTTGACATGTCATTTACATGCTTAACAAGTCTAACCGAGTTTGAGTTTCCCTACTTAGCGAAGTAAGTTCAATCTGTTTTTTAGTCAATAGTGGGCCCATTTCCTTTTGAACAGTATCAAGAATGAACGCTATTATCATAATAATTCATTATCTAATTAATAAACAGATTAGACTTGCCCAGAATGGCAAGTGGGCTGTAGTCCTATCATCCAAATGACAGAACAAGCAGTAGCGAGGAACTTCACGCCATTATTCATGGTCTTGTCTGGCTAAATTCGCAAGCCGAAAAATTTGAAGAGAAAGACAATCCTGAATATTGCTGAAAAGTGAATATGTTCGAATAAAAATTTCAGTTTGTTTTGCTCTTATAGAAAGAGATTGAACAGCTTTTAGGTGATCACAAATGTTCTTTTACCTCTCCGGAAATGATTTCGAAAAAAAAACATGTCAAAATGGGTCAAAATGTCAATAATTTTCTGACACGTGGCAGGGAGGCAGTCCTCGTGAAATATATTAGAAAAAGGGTGGCGGTCAAGATGAACGATTGCATGTGCCAGCCGCCAGCTGGGTACCGTAAGCGGTGCGCTGATCGCCCCACCCCTTGTTAATTAGCCTGAGGAATGCGTTGCAGCTATTGGAAAACTCTCTAATACTTCATGCTTCTTCAACTGGTTGCAATTTGGATAGCAGTAGATTTCAAAATTTCAGTTAAATTGAAAATCTTTTCATATCATTTTTCATAGAAAATTAGTCCGCAAGCTCTTTCTAATGTATTTCAATTATTTGTTCCTAGTAGGCTTGTCCAAAACTGTTTCGAGAATGCTTGGAAAAGCGCTTTTCTCTATTCACATCTGTTACCACATTGAATATGATTTGTTGTGCACTCTCAAGTTTAGTTCAAAAAGAAGTCAGCTTATCGGGAAATACTATTATTATTGCTGAAATGACCAACACCATTATCTTTTTTTATCGGAAAAGTAAGTTTTAAATCCCTAATCATAGCTAAAAACAGATTTCATTGCGACGAAAATTCAAAACAAGCATTATAGACGAATTTTGTCTCAAGCAAACTAACTCGTTATGCAAATATGCGGTCATATTACATAAATTCTCTCAGATTTCAGGAAAATCAAACTGCTTATAAATTTTCGAAACCGCTTTAATTATCAAAATTCTTCTATTTTGCTTCCAAAATCTGCTATCTCCAATACATATCGATCTGTAACTCAATCGAAATTGCGTGCGAACTGGTCGTAAGATGTGAGGTCACTCAAGCAATTATGCCTGAGGTGTTCCAGATTGGTTTCACACTTCAAAGTTGGATATCCAGGAGTCACTCAGCCATTCATCGGTAAATGAGCAAATTTCTCGAATTTCACGACTAACACATCAGCTGTTCATTGATTGCCAAAAAAGAAACAAAAAATCAAAACAAGATTTTGCAAATAGTCAAGCTTCACCCCAGCTTGCAACAAGCTTATATCTCACTATCAAAAGTTATTTTTACTTGAACGATATCGTCCGAGAAACTCGTCCGCCGCAGTAGGGCGGAGCTTCGAGCGAACACGTTATTGCCAGTTCATCCCGCGCGCCACTGGTACCAGCTATCGTTCATCTTGACATATACCCTTAAAAATGTTCCTAGACTAAAGAACGTATTTTATAAGAGCCTTTTGAAAAAAAGGGTCCGGATAACGGAAAACTACCTTCTTTTAAAATATTCGAGGCTTGATTCTTCGATATTTCTGAATTAAAGAGTAGGGAAAGCAATGTTATAGTGTGGAGGTTCAAACAAGATTATCCCTATAATCAGGGAAAATTCGTACCCGCCTCCACATGAATCCGAACGCATATCGACTTCACGCAAGCATATTAGGCGTGGAAAGTGGAAATGAGGTAATGGGAAATGAAAAATGGGAATGAAACACTGATAGAAATCAGTGAAGACAAAGCGACTTTGACGCAAATTTCAACTCACATGAATTCCGCTCACTCACTTGATTGCATAGAAGTGAACCTCTAACGAAAGAATGTTTAACAGCGAACATCTCGTTCAACGTGTTAAATGAACTGCTCATGTCAGCTCATTGGAAACGCTCAAGAAAGCCTTCGACTGCGGGCACTCATGTCTGCTGCGATCCCCCATTTATAGATATACCAGTGCGTCACCTCTGCTTCGCAGAGGCTCGCACTGGTCTTACTCTATAGTTTTGAGCAACATCTTCTCTTAAGGAAGGCAAAGTATGGCACGCCTACAGCAGGTACTGGCAGGTGCGCCCCATGAATATCGTGCCGTTCGGGTCTGCGTGTCCATGCTTGTCTTCAGAGCTAAACAGCGCCCTGCCTCATCTCTCAAATTGCTTTGAACCTCCCCGGAAAATTCTGATCGTGAAGAATATGATGTAAACAACCATTCTTTCTGCGAGGTTTTCATGTGAAACCGGTAAAATTAGCGTGACGATACTTTTTGGTAAACGGTTGTAATTTTGTATCCGTTTTATCAATGCAGTGTTGACTAATTAGAACAACAGCAGATGCACACTACATTTCCAGCTTAAAATATTTCCAGCTATACAGTGAGTTCTTTGAAAATCAACAATCAATTGAGTCATCTCTTTTTGACGCCACTTTTGCACGAAATTAACTTTTTGCTATGTATCTGCGCTGAATTCCAAGGCTTAGAAGATGTCCAAGTTAAAAGTCTTACAGTTAACTGCAGACTCCTTGAATTAGGATCTCGTTTGCCTTAGCAAATGCCTGGTGGATCCGTTTGACTCGGGATTTTCAGCAACCGATACAGATTCGCTCACTTCTTTACATAATTATCTGGGTGCTGCTAGTGTGCTGTAGCCAAAAAATCAGCTCGAACTCTTGGCTGCAGCTTGCGCTACGAACTACACTGATTTGCAGAGGCTCGCTTTGGTCCTACTCTATACACCTTACTCATTCATGCCTTATGATGGCATTGAAACTCACCGGACAATGCCGAATATTACGAATAAAATGTAAACAACTACTCATTCCAAAAGTTTTTCTATGTGAGAACGGTAATTTTGAGAGGATGAAATTTTTCGCAGAAGAACAAATGCAAGTTTGAATAGGTTCTTGAACTTTTCTCTGGCTAGGTAGTTGCTATAAGGACAATAACACCCTGAGCCACATCTCTGTGCAAAAATCTTCTCAAATGCTCAAATAAAACTTGGCAAATCGACCATCTAACAATCAATACTTTTCGGCGTCGTTTTTGTAAAATAGTAGACTTTTGATCCCTTTTTTAGACCAAAACCCATGGCTTGCACATTGAGATGCCAAGCACATCCACGACTTTGCAAAAAGTTGTGATACGGATCCAATTATGAGGGCCAAAAGCCAATTGGACCCGGCTGACGCGCAATTTCTGAGGGATCCACCTAACAAATCCGCTCGTGCTTTCGCACGGTGGACTTTTATGCTGGTAGCAAGCGCTATGCAAAATTTGGGCTCAGAACGTTGGCTGGAACTCGCGCTATGAATTTCGTGACAGACAGATATTCAGACACACACACACAAAAACACGCAAACAACCCTTAGGCCCCGGGCAGACTTCACGCGATTTGATCGTCGCGACTGAATCGCGAGGAGACAACTGTTACAACATCATTCCATGCAGATCAACTTGCATTCGGTTGTGATACTTTTCCAGACCGAAATTTTCGAATGTGAAATGAAAATGAATGGAAATCTTGGCGATTTGGTCGCGACGATTAAGTCGCGTGAAGTCTGACCGGGGCCTTAGCCCGTTATTATAAGTTATGATTAGGCCCCGGACATGCTTCACGCGACTTAATCGTCGCGAGCTGATCGCCAAGATTTCCATTCATTTTCATTTCACATTCAAAAATTTCGGGCTGGAAAAGTATCACAGCCGAATGCAAGTTGATCGACATGGAATGATGTTGTAACAGTTGTCTCGTCGCGATTCAGTCGCGACGATCAAATCGCGTGAAGTCTGCCCGGGGCCTTAGGGTGAAGGTAAAAAAGGAAAATCAGAGAATAACTACCGATCTCACAAGAAAGAGAAGTAATTGAATCAAATTTTGATAAGTATTAGAGCGCTTCTTAAAAAACCTCTTTGGAAAATTGTATATTCCTATCGGATAAGAGTGTTCAGCGAGAAACTTCTGCAGCTTATAGCCAACTGGTCTACATATATAGCTATGCAGATTGATCAAAGAAATTTCCTGTAAGCAAAAGATCGCAATCAAAATAATTTTCCATTTTTTGATATTTTCTTTACGATTGCAATCTCTAAAAATTTCGATTTTTTTTTTGTTTACCAGAAATAATGTCTCTTAGGTACTAGTTGGATTAGTGTCTGACGGCACTGACCCCACCCTTCAAGCAGGGGGAGAGATTTTTACGGATGCTTTCTCTAGAAAAGTTTTCTACCCTGGAGTGGCCGCGGCAATTGGTCATATTCGAGCGTCAATTTCTCTACATTCACAATTATTGTAAGGAAGCGCTACTGCCGGAGGCCCGGCACAAGTCCGTTTCTGGAGTTTTCAAAAACGAAGTGCCCCTGATTTTTGAGAAAATTACGAAGTCCCCTTTGACCCTTAACGGAAACCTATCGATTTACCGTTGTTTGTTCTGCTTACATGCGCCCTAAGGACTAGATGATGAACTGGAAAAGGAAAAATAGGCATTTGAACACTGGAGATCTTTATTATTCAAAAATAAACCTGTTCATATAACGCAAGCCCCATGACAAAACTTTGATGTTGGGAAAATCATTGTCAACACCCGATGCTCTACTGCGGCAAGCATAGCATTCTAAAGAATTACCCAAAACATTCTATCAATTCGACTCAAAAGTGGAACTTAAAACGTAGTAACTGGAATATGATGTGATATAAATGACTTGATACGGCAACAATCAACATGGACTATCATGTACTCCATTGTGCAAACCCAGCTTCACGGGTAGGCTCGTAGGTAGCGATCGCATATGTATCTGAAAATAACCTATCACTTTAGAAAGCTTATTCGTGGCGTTTCCCGAAATCTTGTCACATGTCACAGACACTACTAGTAAAATTTGAATTATTCTAAAGTTGTGATATACACCAACTAGGAGAGTTGTGCTTGCCTTATGTGACTATCAACTTCGAAACTTTGAAAACCAATGCTTCAAAATAGTACAGAGTAAACGCAAGACATGTGAGCACAATGGAGCGAGAAACCTACCAAGCATGATGGAGCGAAAACCCAAACAAAAAACTGATGAACTCACCTTGCATTTCCAAAAGTGTCATGTGTGCTTTACACATCGCAAACAGAATCAATGCAATCAACATTTCTGGAACTTTTCGAAACACACCAGAACCACCTAAATATTAGGTTGGCACGAAAGTTCTTGCGTAATTCAAACAAAATTCAATAACTTTTTATAGACTAAACCTAAATTCACAAATTTGTATACTAAAATACTAGAAGTCTCACGCTCCATGATGGAAGTTCAAGCGCAAAATTTCATGATCTAGCCATCGAGAACGAAGCTCTCAAATATGGGGCTTCAAATTTTGAGATTCTGAGTTTGGTGGCAGAAAATCGCAGAGGGCTGCTAGCTAGCCGAAAAAAATCTGTAGAATTTACTTACACAGCAAAAGTCCACACGTTATTTTAGCAGGCTTTGATCTCGCATGGAAATGCGAAAACAAAAAATCTGTGAAATTTTTCATTTTACAGGACAAATCCCCTTATCGCTCTAATTCTTCCACAGAAAGACAGTTTGCAACCAGAAATTAGACATAGTGCCTATATTGAGCCTTGCGACGTTTTCTCGATTGTACAAAAGTGTTTTCGCCGGAAAACTGCGGACATGAGGGGATTTTTTCCGCAAAATGACATATTTCACGAATTTTTTGTTTCTGCTTCACCGTGCAAGATCAAAGCATTCCGAAGTAGCATATGGACTTTTGTTGTGCAAGTAAATTCTGTAGATTTTTTTCGGCTAACTAGCGGCACGCTGCGATTTTCTGGCACCAAACTCAAAATCGCAAAATTTGAAGCCCCATATTCGAGAGCTTCGTTCTTGATGTCCAGCTCACGGAATCTTATGCTCAAACATCCTTCATGAAGCGTAATGCTCCTAATATTTTTAGCATACAAGATTGTGAATTAAGGTTTAGTCTTTGAAAAGTTATTGAATTTTGTTTGAATTACGCAAGAACTTTCGTGCCAACCTAATACAAAAAGTGAAGAGCCCAAGTAGGCATGATATGCAGATTACGACAAATTTGACTGCTAGACAGACTCCTAGATATTAGAGAAAAAGGATCAAGGAACTACGTATGCCTATAAAACTGCTATTCTATAAGTGAGATACATCAGGAACAAAAGAATATAAGTTACAGAAAACCCACCTCTACTAGGGATATCCATCCAGCCGAGCCATTTGTACTACATTGGATTGTTGTTTGAGATTTGTCGTGGTCGTTGAAACTGAAGGTGACTAACAATAAGCGACAGAAACAAAAACATGTCTGATTGAAAGGATACTTCTAGACATTCCCATACTGAACCTGAAAAAGTGGCGTACCCCAGGGTGGCATTCTCTCGCCGTTGCTTTTCCTTACTTACGTCGCGAAATTGCCTAACTATCTGAAAACCCATCCGAATCTGTCGAACATCAAGATGGTTTGCTGCATTATCAAATCATATCATATCCAGTGAAATTTTTTTTGCTAGATGTGAATGGCTTAAGCTTCTTGATAATTCTGATTTTCAGATGAGTCTTATTCAAATGTGGTGCTCGCTTCTTCATACTGCCTCAGCTCGTTCTTCTATTATTTGACGCTATGCTTTCTGGTTCGCTTCGCTTGGATAGTCCACTACAGGGATCGAGAACAGGGCTCGGCACGAGCTGGCACCAGGGAATTTTGAAAACGAAGTCCCCTTTGAAATTTGCCAATTTTTACGAAGTCCCCCTTGACTTTTGGGAAATTTTACGAAGTCCC